GGTGTAGTGCACTCTGCACTCAGATCTCTTGATTGAGTTTTTAGTTGGAACTGAAATACTAAACTGTTTCTCTTTGGGTTTCGATTTCAGATTCATTGATTTTCAATGGAAGCTGTACCATCAAGTATTGCGGGCGCAATGCTCTCCTCTCTGTTTGACTATATATTTGAAAGATTATTTGCCTCCTCAGAGTTTCTCAACTTTGCCCGACTCAACAAGTGGAAGAACCTGTTACCAAAGATCAGAGCCATTCTCGATGACGCAGAGGATAAGCAAACGGTCAGTCGAGCGGTGAAGCTCTGGCTCAGCGATTTAAAAGACATAGCATATGATGCTGAAGATATCATTGATGAAATTGCCACCAATGCCCTGCGTCGGAGAATACTGGGGGAGACTCAGATGACGGGCATCGGTAGTAAGGTATGCCGATTTTTCCCAAATTGTTTCACCGGTTTGAATTTAAGTAGTGTTAAGTTTAGTGCACGGATGGGTTCTAAAATAGAAGATATCACTGTTAGATTTGAAGGTATGGTTGAGATAATGAATGCTTTGAATTTTTTCGTGAGAAGTGGTGAAGGGAGATTGGAGAGAGTAAGGTATGGGCTGCGTTCGACGAGTTCTCTCGTTGATGAATCTCGGGTTTATGGCCTGGGAATGGATAAAGATGAGATTTTTCAACGGTTGATGTATGTTGAAATTGGTGAAATTGGTGTGGTTTGTGTTGTGGGAATGGGGGGAATGGGTAAAACCACGCTTGCTCAGTTAGTATACAATGATGAGAAAGTTGAAAACTTGTTTGAATTGAGAGTTTGGGTTTGTGTCTCTGAGGACTTTGATGTTGTTAGGGTGACTAAGATTCTATTGCAGTCTGTCACTAAGGAGGGTTGTCGCCATTCCCAGGGCGATCTAAATTCACTTCAACTGCAGCTAAGGGATGTGCTTTCTGGAAAGAAGTTTTTGATTGTTTTAGATGATGTTTGGAATGAGAACTATGAAAGGTGGGATGTTCTGCTTAGGCCCTTGCTGGCAGGAGCAGCTGGTAGCAAAGTACTTGTAACGACTCGGAGTGAAGGGGTTGCATTTATCATGAGCAAATGTGGGGGATACCATTTGCAGGCCTTGTCTGATGATGATTGCCTTTCTATTTTTGCCTCACATGCTCTTGGAGCTAGTAATTTTGATGGACACCCAACTCTAAAAGGAGTTGGTGAGGAGATAGTGAAGAAGTGCAAAGGATTACCATTAGCAGCCAAGATTCTAGGTGGGCTCCTGCGTGGTAAAGTAAATGATGATGAGTGGAAAAATATGCTAAGGAGAAAAATATGGGACTTACTAGAAGAGAGAGGTGGCATCATTCCTGCACTGAAGTTGAGTTACCATCATCTTCCCTCCCATTTGAAGCGATGCTTTGCCTATTGTGCTATTCTCCCTAAAGGCTACGAATTTGACAAGAATGAGCTGGTTCTACTATGGATGGCCGAGGGTTTGATAGGACAAGCCCCGGAGGAAAAGCAAGTGTGGGACAAAGGTCTTGCATATTTTCATGATTTGCTTTCAAGGTGTTTTTTCCAACGATCAAATAGCAACAAAACATTGTTTGTTATGCATGACCTTATAAATGATCTAGCTCAATCTGTTGCTGGGGAAATATGCTTTCATTTTGAGGATAACTCTGGAGATAAACTGCCTGCAAGTATTAAAAAGCTTCGTCATTTGTCATTCACTCGCTGCCAATATGACATTTTCAGAAGATTTGAAGTGTTTGATCGAGCGAAGTCTTTACGGACTTTCATAGCTTTACCAATTGATACATCATCTTCAACAGCAAGCTGTTACTTGAGCAAGGATGTGTTGCAGGAGTTGGTGGCAGAATTAAGATACTTAAGAGTGCTATGTTTGAATGGCTACCGTATCAACAAACTACCAAATTCTATTGGTCATTTGGAGCACTTGAGGTACCTTAATTTGTCTTACACTACAATTAAACAGTTACCACAATCTGTGGGTTCTCTATTCAACTTACAAACATTTTTATTGCGTGGCTGCAAGGAGCTTACTAAATTGCCACAGGGTATTGAAAATTTGATTAACCTTCTTGTTCTTGATCTTACTGATACTGAGAAATTAGTGAGGATGCCACTGCATATTGGTAATTTGAAAAACCTTCAAATTTTGTCCAAATTCATTGTGGGAAAGGACAACCAGTTTGGCATTAAAGAATTGAAGGACTTGATGCATCTAAAAGGGGAGTTTTGCCTTATGGGGTTGGAAAATGTAATGGATGTCGGAGATGCTAAGGATGCCAATCTAATGGATAAGCAGTACCTTGATGCTTTAGATTTGAAATGGAGTGAGTTCCTTCATTACCAAAGTGAAGAAGATGAAATGCTTGTTCTTGAAATGCTACAACCTAATAAGAATTTGAAAGAACTTAGAATTTTGTTCTATGGTGGTAAAAGATTTCCATCTTGGTTAGGAGATCCCTCATTAATTAATGTTGTGGAAGTAAAACTCCATAACTGTAGTAGAAGCATGTCACTTCCTTCACTTGGGAGACTGCCATCATTGAAGACAGTGTCCATCCAAGGCATGAACAGAGTCAGAGAGGTGGGTTTTGAGTTCTACGGAGATGATTTGCTGTCTACTAGGTGGTTTCCATCCTTAGAAGTTTTATGCTTTCGGAACATGTTAGAATGGTAATGCTGGTCTTCTCCTCAAGAAGCTAATGTGAATTTAGATGATGGATTTCCTTGTCTTCGTGAGCTCGTGATTCAAGATTGTCCAAAACTGATTGGAAACCTACCAAGCTGCCTTCCTTCCCTTGCGAAGCTTATCATTAGTGATTGCCCCACGTTGGGGGGTTCACTTATGAGCTTGCCCTCCCTTCGTGAACTAAAAATTGAAGACTGCAACAAGGTAAGGCTGGAAAATATTGTTGATCTTACTTCCCTAACCACATTGAGGATTCAGGGCATAAGGGACCTTTCATGTTTGCCACAAGAGATTCTAAAGTCTCTAGGTGCACTTCAAATCCTTGAGATTTCAAATTGCACTGAACTGATATATTTGTGGCAGAAGGGCAGTGCACTGAAAAACATTGCTTCTCTCGAGCATCTGAAAATTAAAGGCTGCTCTGAATTTGTGTCTCTAGTGGTAAACGAGCAAGGCCTTCCTTGTAGTTTGGAAGATATGGAATTGATGAACAATGGCAACTTGGAGAAACCATCCCTCAAAAGCTTGCAAATTGAATCATGCCCAAAACTTTTATCCTTTCCTGAGACAGGCTCCTTATCCACTCTTAGACGTATTAAGCTCAAAGATTGTGCAGCTCTTATAACCTTGCCTGATTGGACAGCAATGCTTAACTGCAGGACTACTGACTATCTTCTTCAAGACTTGGAGATTGAAGAATGTCCTTCCCTCACATCCTTTCCAAGAGGCATCTTGCCTAGCAGGTTGCAGAGATTGAAAATCCGGGGTTGTAGAGATCTACAATCTCTACCTGAAGGAATCATGCAGAATGATTACAGCACAAACATCTCTCATCTTGAGAGCTTGGAGATCGTTGATTGCCCCTCTCTAACTTGCTTTCCTGAAGGCATATTACCATTTAGTCTTAAAACACTAAAGATTTCAGATTGCTCAAAGCTGGAGCCACTTTCAGAGCAGCTGTTACACAACAATGCATCCCTTGAATACATCGGTATGTGGAATTATGCTACTCTTGAATATTTGCCTGAATGCCTACATTGCCTTGCACATCTTACTGAGTTAATTATAAGTAGCTGTCCGGCTTTAATCTCCTTCCCAGTGACAGCCCTCCCCCCTAACTTGAAAACGTTAGAAATTGACAACTGTGTCAATTTCAAATCTATGCCAGAGAGGATGCAAAATCTTGCTTCTCTTCAATATCTAACAGTTTGTGACTGTCCAAGTCTTGTGACCTTTTCTCAAGGTGGTTTGCCCCCTCAATTATTGTTACTTAAGGTCTGGGATTGCATATATCTGAAGGAGCCAATGTCAGAATGGAACCTAAACTCCCTAACCTCTCTTGAAAAGCTCATCATTGCTGGTACCCCTGATATAGCTTCCTTCCCGGATGAAAATTGTTTGCTTCCTATGAGCCTCACTTTTGTTTCCATTGCAAGACTCAACAATCTGGAATCTCTATCCTCAGCACTGCAAAACCTGACCTCACTCGAAGAACTAGAAGTTGTTGACTGTCCAAAGTTGAGACACTTGCCAAGGGAAGGCCTGCCTGCAGCACTTGGAAGACTTTGTATCAGAAACTGCAAACATTTAAAACGAAAATGCTTGAAGAAGACAGGAGCTTACTCGACGAGGGTAGCCCACATTCCCAACGTGGAGATAGAATGGTAATCTCCCCATGTTCTCAGTTATGTTTAGATCAACTTTTATTAGACTACTTTCTTTGGTCGACTTTGGCCATACAGCTGCATGATTTGTCTCCTAATGATCATTCCACTGCAATCGCAGATTAAATTCAAAAAGGACAGCAGATGTTCAATAAACTCTTGCAAGATGTTTTTGGGGTAATATTATGATTGTTTTTTTCCATTTGTTATGAACGTATCTTGAGCATAAGTTAAGTTGCAGCCATAGATTTCTTATATTTTCAACTTGTGCAGATTGCACATTTTCTACATACAGATGGAAGGAATATCAGTGATCCACAAACACATTTACTCAAGATTGAAGAATATATACAGAGAGTGATAATCCATAACCATTACCTCTGATGGTCATGTCATGGGGACCTTCTTTCTCATAACTTTATGCTTGCATTAATCGAAGTCAATCTCAAAAGAATTTGGAATAAAGAAGTCTGCAGTTTGTGATACATCCTGAATTCTGTTTTTGATTATGAGATCTATGAACTGTGTTTATTTCATTTCCAGGTAAATAGATTTGAATTTCTTGTTGCTTTCTCTACAGATTTTGAGATAAATCATGGACTATGTATATGATTTCAATTTTTCAACTTGAATTATCTCTACTTCTCAGTTGAGCTCTACTTCTCAGTTGAGAAATTATGTAGAAAATCAATCATCAAGACAGCAACGTAGATCGTACAACAGAACACAAAAACAGGTGTACTACAAGACAGGCAATCATCAAGTATAAGTTGAGTGATTCTAAGGGTCTGTTTGGTCCATGGAAAATAACATATAGTTGGAAAAGAATTTTATTTTCTAATATTTCTAACAATTTGAAAAAAAATTTTAGAAAATATTTTCAGATGTTTGGTAAGCAATTGAAAATCTCTAAAATTTAACATAAACTTTATCAATTTAGGTAGCCTTTATCAATCTTGTACGTTTTCTCCCTTTTAATCTTCTGCTTGACTTGTTCATTTTCCTACCTCCCTAGCCATGCTATTGAAACTTCAACTAGCATCCATCCCTGCCTATTCCTTTTTGCAACATATCAGTTTCAATATCAGTAACAAGAAATTTTCATCACATCCACCTGTTCATCCTAGAAAACCACTATATTGCACCACTATTAGATTACCAGCACAACTCCTCCCAGACAAAAGATCGAATAGTTAGTGTGCATTGTCAAGGGAGACTCTAATCTTCCTAAACTCATTTTCTCAAAACCCAAAAACTCAACTTATGCAGTCAAGACAGCAACAAGCACTATATTATACATAAAATAAATTCCAATCCATGCTAATTCTTTAATGAAATAACTATAAAACAGCAAAGAAAAATGGCGTAGCTTTAACAAAATTGACATGATTTAAAGAGCTTGAGATTAAAAACTCAAAAGGCATGCAAAAACCGAAACATCCAAATTCGAGAGCACCAACCTGCAATAAATTAAGACTTTAAAGTTTTCGCAAGTGTAGCAATCTCACTGTGAATACAACTTGGAAAAGCCAAAATTGACACAAGCAATGCACCTACAAGAAAAAAATATCAGTAATTCATACGTGAATCTAACAGTTTGAGCAAAAATTGATTTAAGTAATTAGCAACCAAAAACTCGACAACATCATAAAAATATAAAATTAACTCAAGAAGAGAAAGAGCATACCGATGAGACACAACACCATCAGGAAACTCTTGATGGTTATACTGATATCAAATTCAAGCATCGGATTAGATTAGTCCTAAACTCGAAATTAAAAGAAGAAGAGATCTGAACTTAAATTTTCCAAGTGATGCGATGATGAAGAATATCGTGCGTTGCTTAGAGAAGAGAAATCATTAGATTCAAAACTATGGAAACTGAAAAATTTTAGAAAGAATCAAGAAACACAAAAAATCAAAGTAGATGAACGTTGAAGCTTTTTTCAACCTTGAACAGTAAAATGCAGATATTGATCCCAACATCAAGTCGTAATCTATCTGGAGCATCGGAAATTCGTAAAACGAAAACTGAAAGGTAGAAACCATCTGTGGATTGAATTAAAGGACTTGAAGTATTTACCGTAGAGCTGGAGAAATTTGGGAGCCATTGCTGCACCCTGACTGGATTGCATCTGAGCAAGGGAACTAGAAAAAGTTGCCTTTTTT